GGGGTACATCAGTATGCAGTCCTTGATGAACCAGGTCTTCAATGATAGCGATGGTGTCAGGTACCGAACTTTGGTGAACAAGGACACCACATCAAAACTGACAAGCAGGTCGTTTGGGGACAGGGAAATGTCTTTGATTGTCGATACCAGGTGAGTAGAATTTAGTACCGCAGAGGTGGTTTTTCCAGTGAAAGGTCGCAGTATATCAGCCAGAAAAACGTGCCAGTTTGTAGGTGGGGGAGCTTATAGTAGAGACGATGGGACGAAGGGGTGTATCTTCTTTGTGTATCTTTGGAAGGCCATATAATCTTGGTGGTCTGGCAGCAGAGGGTTTCAACAAGAACTGTTTGTTCTCATCAATTAATGCTGTTGAATCAGAGATAATTTTGTTCGTTTTGGTGACCAGGCTGTTGGTGGGATCTCTTTTTATTTTTGTATAGCTGCCATCGTTGAGTAGTTCTTGAATTTTGTTGTTATATTCTGTTTTGTCCATGATGACAGTGGCATTGCCTTTGTCGGCTGAGAGAACGACAATATCATCCCTCTTTTTTAATTGAGATAATTCAAAACGTTCGTCTTTGCTGATGTTGCTAGGTGGCAACTTAGCGTTTTTGAGGGTTGCAGCGATTTCAGATCTTGCTACGTCTGCAGAGATGTGACTCAAGCCCTTGAGTGCAACGTCGACATGGGCAATGATATCATTAACCGGTAAGTGTCTCGGTGTGACAGCAAAGTTTAGACCTTTAGCTAAAACGGATTTCAGACCATCAGAAATGGAACTGTTACTGCGATTAATTACGACTTTGTTGACGTCTATCTTTTCGGTGTGTGGATCCGATTTTTTGCTGGAGAGGTGATTGAATTTGGGAGTCTCTTCCAAAGGAAACCAATTGACTGCTAAAGTCAACTGGAGCAGTCATTTGATCAACCCCAGAGAGATGATGAGCAGTTAACTTGCAACCAGGATTTGAGCCACCCACTGCGGTTGAAACGCCTGCCACTGTAGCACGTGCAATGCATCTGAACTCAAAATGTAATAAGGGAATAAATCACGTCTTAAGAAGGAATTTCATGCCCTTGACCCAAAATGTGTTTTTTGTAAAATCTAAGCCACACCGTGCATAAAAAAATATATATACACCCTTTCTCTAAAATGTAATCCTTTTAGGATTTTATGCACACCATTAATATAATGTATTGGGGCAATACCGAATTTATTTTATAATGAAGATGCACTTTTATATGAATTATTAATATAAGTGGCAGGATAACGTATGATGGGGAAAACAGTTTGTTTCCAGAAAATATATTTTTTGAGACAAAGCTAAAATGTAGGTCAATAAGAAAAATGGAGGATTGCTGCATTAAACATTGTAGGTATCTGGTAACCGCTGACAACACTAATTACATGCCAAAATGAATCTCTCTTTATTGTTAGCATAGTTTACACATTACACCAAATAAAAAAACGGAACACAACATCAGTTGAAACGCAATGTATATCTTTATGTTGACATGTTTTTATTGGTTTTATTACATGCACACACAAAAACAAACATCCCTACATCTTGCATATGTATCAGATGAAATATCAACAATAGGTGCAACTCTCATGTCAGAGGGACGGCGAATTAAAACTGATGTTATTTGGGTTTGTGCGACACCAAATACGGGTTAAAATTATTTAATAGCCCTTATATCCACGAGGTGAACGCAAGCTCACTGTGTTTGACAGATCAGCCAGTGGAGGCTAAAGGATGTTTGTTATCTGCCAACTGTGTTGCTACCGCAAAGGGCATGCCCGAATCCAAACTCAAATCTTCATTTATGGCTTGCAAATCTTAAAATAATGTTTCAAAGCATCACTTGGCTGCAAATATAGCATTCTCAGGGTAGAGTGATGGCAAGTCAAGCTGCAATTTCAATCATGAAAAGCCTGGAAAATCACGGTGTAATTTTAAGCTGAAATATTAAGCCGTAACTAGCTATCCAGCAGAGAAGTAGCAGTGTTAGACCACTGTGAGAGGAGAGAGCAGTGAAAATAGAACACAGGGCAGTGAACAGAACGCGTACTCGTAGAGAGAGCACACGAATAGCAGACAGCGAGAGTAAATATACCAGAGAAGCAAAACAAAAGATGAAAACAGCAATGAGAATTGCATTAAACCCCCTCCCCCCAATGTTTCTCCTTCATATACAGATTCACAATAATATGGTAAAGGAGCTGCCCACATCACTGACAGAAAAGCCTCCCTACACGACAACCCCGATAGGGGGTATGTTGGCCGACTCTCCCATGATGGCCATGAGTTTGGGAGTATCCACTTTGTACTACCACACATTTATACTGAGTGAACAGAGGGGGTGGGGGTTAAAAACCTGCTCCATTGTTTCAGCTGCCACGCCGAGATGAAGCCAGCAACATCTAAATTCAAGCGCAGTGTACTAACCATTAACCCCACAGGAATAACGAAACGTAATTGCGACTAATATGGTATAGTCGTGACGGTGAAATGGCTTCCCTTGAGGCACATTAGCCCAACCGGTTTGTTTTGCACCTCCCTCGTGGACTTCTTCCAATGTGAAGTGTCGGCACCCTCTGACTCTAATCCTGTTCAAACCACAGTCCTCGACTGTTGCAGTTTTGCAAATCTCGAGTGGATATCCGAGATGTGAACTTGATAAAGTAGCCTTGATAGGAATCAGCCATTTTATGCCAAGTTTTTTTTAATAGCCACCAGAAATTGTGAATCTGACCCAATTTCAATAAATATTAGATTCACTTTCTCTTGTTCAACCTTTTACCATGTATTGCAGTCAAACACTTTATAGAGGAACTTAGCTAAAGTTATTCATGGAATTTAGAAAAAAAAAACATATCCCGAATGTAAAATAATAATTGTATTCAAACTCCGCAAAAGCTAGGGTCACATTCACACAATACACTAAAAAGCAGTGAAACTGTGAAGGTGTTTCTTTTGACAACCTTTTGCATAAGACTAATCCACACAACTGGAACACTCGTACCGAACCTGAACTGTAATGATTATGAAATTAAGATGTGAGGTGCTAAAGCACTGACTGCATGAAAGGGATATTTGGAGGGAGGCAAGGACGGTCACAAATCACGAGGGCACTAATCAATGTTACATGACTGTCAACTCATACGGTTTAGCCGTATTCTCGTACAGGGAGATTGAGTGTTCAGGTCCATACGGCATGTGGTAGCACCTAAACGAGGCCTACCAACCTGTCCCAGATCTTCCTCTTCAAGAGGTAGCCGTTCTGGGAAACGTGCATTTTCCCGGCACATTAAGTCTTGGTTTTGAGTGAGCTGCTTAAAAGATACACGACTCAATTAAATGCATTTACATGTCGTAATTTCCTATTTGAGTGCTGCGAGATGTCTTTCCGTGATGTTATTCAACACGAGCAGAACCTTTTGCGTGTCCCATCGGTTTTATAGACAAACTTCCCATTTATTTCCATATTCCGTAGAAGTGTTGTGTTACATGACTGTATTCCCAAATTGGTAGTCAAATATAATGGGATTCACTGCAACGAAATTGTTCTCAAAACTGCTACCACGGCGACCTTGCCATATGTGTTTGTGATCTCGAGATATGCTTCAATAAAATAATTTGCCACGGTGGGTGGTAACGTTGTCATTCTTGGGCCAATGGCTCAAGGGCTATCGATTCTAGGCTGACCGCCCGTTACCCATTGTTAATGGGACACGCAGTCCACGCAGACTCGATGATCATGAGCCTCCGCATTTTCTGAAGCTGCCCTGGTTGCCCAGCGGTCTCTGGCGTTTGTGGTTGCTGCGTTTGCTACACCCCGGGCTGTACCGTGGCGCTGACATCTAGACTCTCTCCCATGCTTGCTTGACTTGTCCTGCCTCCCTCCAATCCTTGAGATACTCCGAGTCGATTTGGACTGTAGTTTATTTCATATTTAGCTTTGATTTTACATTGCTATACGTCTGCAATATTTTTTATTCGTAATGAGATTATTTTTGTTCTGATTACTTTATTAATTGCTATATTGTTTTGCATTTGTCGTTTTGGTGACCCAGGTGACGCTTGCAAATGAGACTAACCTGGTTTCTTGAGTTCTTACCTGCTTGAACAAAATAAACTCGAAACTTCAACTTGATCCACCCACCCGCCACCTTCTTCCCATGCTTTTGGAAAGCATCGTAAGATCTGGTGGGTTTAGACGCAACAAATTTTTATTGCAGTTGTAGAAACTGGCAGTTTTCAGAGAAAATAAAGCTGAGTGGAGCAAAAAGAAAACCCCCATAATATGTGCATTTCTCTTTGTAAGGATGTTACAATAATCTAAGACACTCAACCTTCATCATCATTAGACCTCCTTTGCCAGTACCAAAATATAAGAATAGGGTTTTTCCCCTTTTTTCTGGCAACAAAACTGAAACATTTTTACAAGGATTCATGTCTGCATTAACCACAATACCTGCAGTCAAAATGCAAACAAAACATATACTATGATAATATATGCATTGTCCTTGAAACTGATTGGTCCACACCAAGGAATGGCTTTCTTTGGTGTGGACCAATCAGTTTCAAGGACAATGCAAATATTATCATAGTATGTTTTTTGTTTGCATTTTGACTAAAGGCATTGTGGTTAATGCAGACATGAATCCTTGTAAAAATGTTTCAGTTTTGTTGCTAGAGAAAAGGGGAAAAACCCTATTCTTATACTTAACCTTTTTTGAAAACTAAAATCATGAATTATGCCATGGGTGAAAACCTTTGGCCAATTAGTATTTATAACAGCGCCATTCCGCTTATGCATAGCTGTTTCGTTGCTACATTAGCATTCACGTCTGGTGGAAAATGGCTTATAAAAAAATAAAAACGGTGTCAAATTACCTGACACAGGAGAAATAATCATTTTCTGTTCTTCAGCATGGTTGCCTACTACTCTGCGGTGCGATAATGGATTACATGTTCTCTTTTCCTTCCTTTTTCTCTGCTTCTCTTCCCTGGAGGTTACAAATCAAGTTTTCCTATCTATCCACTGGTTTATGCTGGCCATGGTGATCCTTTTGAAACTGTTTTTTTTTCGCAATTTCTTTATCAAAATATATTATTTTCGGTGCAAGCACAAGCTTTTTCCTATAAAACATTGACAATTATGCATTCTATCACCAATATGATTTTACCATGAAAACCTAACCCCATTTTCTGATAAGCATGTTTAATAAAAACATACTTTTTTAATGCAGGTACTTACCCACATGCACGAAAAAACATTTGAGTAACTTCAGCTCACAGGTAAAACACAACCAAAGCTCACTCACTCATATAGCTGATGAATAAAACCATAAGCCTAGGGCCACACTCAAAATTAGTATTATTTTTTCCAGTTTCCTTCCATTGCATGCACTACAACCTTACTGGTGACTGAAATCCAAAGCATTTTCCTCACTCAAGCTACAAAATAAGTCAACTAATGTGCTGCCTCTCCCACACATCTCTCCCAGGAGAGCCTCGGGCAGTGAAGCGCCATAAAAATCGAGGCAGGGATGTTAAGGTGTACGTTACAAGTTGTGTCACGTACAATGTTGCAGAAGCATTTGGAGGGACGTGCCTGGTCTCCCCAACACAACATGAATGTGAAATGTGGGACAAACTCTGTCAGAGACCATTCCGTGTTTCAGTTGAAGATGCAAAAATGGGAGGATTTGCACTGGAATGAAAAGACAAACAAATAAATTGCCAATGTCAATCTGGTTACGTTACACAGGCTGAAAGTTCCTATTGGTTTGAAAAAAAAAACTTTAATATGGAGCACTTGATCAATTCACTGCTGGATCAAGGACTCCCATGCCATGTCAATCATGGGAGATGTTTGGCCAAACAAACTTCACTATATTGGTCAGTGCTGGTTGTTGAGCAGGGGCCCATGATCGGTTCAGATATCACTCAGCACCGATATTAGCTGTGCCCAGTAAATTAACTCAAGTTGCCGGATTCATAATGTAGTGCACTAACCACAGTATCGCTACTCCCCCCATTTCCCTCTAGATATTGTTACCAAAACTCTATTCTGCCATATACATTGATTTAAAACGTTGTTTTTTACACAAACATCAAGATAAAGAAACGATCTGCAGGATATTTAATATTCACAGGAAACTGAGCTAAATATCAGCGGTATTTAATTAACCATATTCCTATTTTGTAACGTACGCCATCGATCCAAATGGCAACCAACATCTCTTGAAGAAGGGTAGTTTCATTGGGTTTTTGCTTGCCCATGCCACCTAAAGAATCAAATAGGCGATTAAGTCCACCCTTGGCTCCATGTGTCCGCCTTAGGCTCCCGTGTGTCCACCCTCAGGTCCAAGTGTCTATTCTGGCTTCAATGGGCATGGTGAAGTGCCCCCATATCCGCCGTTATGGCACTAGTCTTGTGCTTGCCCATGTTCAGAACTGCACGGCATCGGGGGGGACATTGAACATTCCTGGCTCGAACTTTTGACCTTTGAAGGGAGAGCCTTCTGCATCCCAGCCCTTTTTCAGCATCTCATGCACTTTCTGGGAGGGAGGGAGGGAGAGAGAGAGAGGGAGAATGCATTAATTAAGTACAGCAGATGGTGGTAACAATATTTCTAGAATGGTGATGCTGTCGTCTAAAAGTTGTCTTTGCCAACATGGAATACGCTACCAGATGGAGTTTGTGTTATTAATATTATTCATATTTAAACCAGCCAAAATTTTATTTAATTGCTTTCATTAAATACACAAAACTATATTCAAAGGGCAGCCAAATGATTTATAGAACCAGATCCTAAAACGTCACATAAATGTAACATCTGGAGTAATTTTAATCCTCACGTTCAACACATATCACAAAATTAGATATGGCAAAGAAAAACATAGCAAAGCATTAAGTGAATATTGTTCATGCAAGTCTATACATTCTTGTTATATACCATCTATATGCATTCTGACACCTTAATATAACTACTGTATTCTATTTTTCGATTTAATAAATTTTCTTTTATTATTTTATTATTTCCCTTCTACGTGACTTTACCGAAAGAACCAAGAAGATACTGTATTTTAGTTAAATTTAAACATTATGGTCCATGGCTCCTATGCTCAACACTGGTAAAATCAATAAACATGCCTACCAACAATATTTATTTGAAATTAAAACATATTGAGGCAGTCACATCTTACAAGAATGTCCGAAACACACTGCCTTGGATATTTGGTGATGGGAGACACGGGTATGTTTTCACCAAGAAAAAAAAAATATCAGTGGAAAATGAACATTTGTCAACGCATGAATTCCGCCCATTATCAATCTTACACTCCTCTATCAGAAAGTACAATACTTGGATAGAACTGATTGTCCTCACAAGAACACACGTTGACTTTTAAAGTGCCCTTTCTACACAAAAAGGTAGGATTGCATATCACCTGGAAACAGTTGCATATAAGCTGTATCCAGTTCCTGATGCTGCCATTCTCAACGCATAAAAAATATATAACTCAAGTAGCCAAAAGACAACGCAAGCGAGTGCGCTTATCAACATACAACTATCTACCAACACATTCAATAAACGCACGCTCTTTTTATACTATCAATTCATAAAAATTCAAATCAAGACTATTACCAATTTCTTAAATGGCTATCAAGATAGTGGCTTGATAGGACTGTCAGCAGTGGTAGATCAACATAGATCCTACATTTGTATCTCTTTTTAATGCTTTCCAATTCAAGTGGGGAAGCAGTAATACATTAGCTATACCCATCTGAGGGAGGTGGGGGAGGCACAATAACTCATTCCCACGTGAAAGCCTACGCGTTAAACTCATTGAAGCATAATCCAATATAAACTATATTTATAAAATCGTGTTGAGGGGCTTACCCTATATAAAACTGGCAAATTGATCCAAGGGTTTTCTAAGGCTGAAAAAATGTGCTAAAATAACTATCCTTGGGGGGCCAAGGCGATGATGTCATTGCGTGCGATGTTAGATTTCTATGTCGCAAGCGCCGCACTTTTCAATGACGTCAATATGGATAAAACGACATCTCGACATGCACTTCGGAACATAATGACATCGTCACTAATACCGCCAAAATAAACGCATGCTGGGAAGCGTTACAGACTCAATGGCTATGCGCGATATTTCTTCCTTGCTTCGTCCAATTTATTTTAAACAAAACCAAGATACGCGAGCAGGTGCAGCTGATGAGCACAGGATTTCACTCCAACAGGTGAACAATGTTCAGGAAGGCAAGCTGAGGTCGTACCATCTCATGGCTCTGTGGCCTCCCGTGCATTTTCTGGTGGTAGTCGAAGGTGAGGCGGTCCAGCACGGCGTGCTCCTCCTCGTCCACCGTTGCCATGGAGCGCTCCTTGTTAATGCGGTCAATGTCTATTGGCTCCTCACCCTCCAGCACTGCGTTCCACCAATACTCACCCACTTTGTTCAGGTTCACCTGCACATGAGCATGGACACCGACCCGCTCAAACAATGCTTCGTCTGCTCTGGAGGACAAATCGCCAGACTCCGTGGCATCGTACACATCGGAAAAGCCAGCAGTGTCGCATTCCAAATGTAAAAATACAATATGTACAGTCCCCTCATCCACTGATGGATGACGGCCTCCCCACTGTTGTACAGATAGTTGGGGGTTATTTAACCACACTTCGCCACGCTAGTCGGTGTGGGTTAGTGAAGATGGGGAGCATAAAGTCCCCCACACTTCCGATTACCACGGTTGGCTTCCCCCGCACCTCTGATTAGCACAGCTGGCTATAACCGTGCTCTATCCACTTCTAAACTAAGGAAAAAGGTGGACGGTTGGCAATTTGCGACAGAGATGGTATATTAAAATGGGAGGGATTTCATCCAAATACTTATATTGATGAATACAGATCGAACACATCAGTTTCCACATACCCAATGTCACCTAGTTCAGAAGTTCAACATACATACAGATGTGACAGCATAAGAGCCAAGGGAAGACATTTTTTTGCTGTACCCTGCTGACAAGCATGTCACCCCACAGCCCAAATGACAACTTGTTAGTGCATGGTGATCACCCATCCAAGCACTATCCACTCAACTCTGCTTCACTTCTAAGATCTGACGAGGTTGGAGCGCATTCCGGGTCATTTTGTCAAACGCTCCGTCAACTATAAAGCATTAAATTTACCACAGTGGACTATTATAAGCCTCGAGGAAAGCTCAGAGTTAAAAGACTATTCATAATGATTCATAATTCATCATCATCAACCGTGCTCTATCCACTTCTAAACTAAGGAAAAAGGTGGACGATTGGCAATTTGCGACAGAGACAGTATATTAAAATGGGAGGAATTTCATCCAAATAAATACTTATATTGATGAATACAGATCGAACACATCACAGTTTCCACATACCCAATGTCACCTAGTTCAGACTATGGTTGTTCAGTAAATTTGCAACAATGCTTTGCTAATGCCATTGTTGTGTGCGTGTAAGATACCTGTATGCATTTGCCCGGCTCCAGGCTCCACATAGAGCTTTCTATATTGATGTTGTGTGTTAATTTCCCCTCCATCAGCACCACCTCTTCTGCTTGTTCCCGGATGGCCACACGCAGCGAGTTCTTTTGAATGTTAATCGAAACCTATTAAAAAGGACAAAGATATTACTGTAGAAAATGTTCCCCTTTTCGAAAATAATTTCACTGTAAAGGGCAATACAATTATTCGCATTTACATTTGGAGAAAGAGGTAATCAAACGGGACATTCCTCTTTTTTTTCTAGCACTAATGCCTTAGATTAAACAAATATAAAAAATACAGGGTTAATTACACCTGTTTGGACAGCTATATTGATCAAATGGCTGGGTAACCAGTGTACAGAGAAAAACTATTTATTTTAGGTTAATGTTCAATAGCCAGCAACCACTTTGCTTGGCCATGAACATAAATCTTTGTAAAGCTAAAAAAATATTACCCCGCAATCTCACCTGTTTGCCCCTGACAATAGTTTTCGGCACAAACACCTTTATCTCCAGGTCGGTGAAGTCCTGCGACCAGACGTAATTTTCCCGTACAGCTCCATTGTAGCTGTCTGGGCTGTCTTGGAAGGAGAGCGGAGCCTTCTTTTCCAGTGCCTTTTCCGTCTTCTCAGCCTTTTCCGTCTTCTCAGCCTCCACAGGTGCCGGCGCGGCACTCACTGGATGGCATGGAGGATTTCCAGCCTCCGAGTGCATGGCAGCGTCTGGCAGCTCTGCTCCAGCATCTACAGCTTGATCGCTGTCTGCTTCCTGGGAATGCTACGAGCCATGACAGGAATAATAGTAATTTAATAATAATTTCAACTTGTAATGCGCCACACAATATTCGTTCACTCTGAAAGAGAGAGACAACTCAGAGGCGCGAGGAACTACAGACAAACGGGAAGGCAGCCAGGTGGTAAGCCGGCAATTGCCCAAGCGTTGCAATCCTGTATTAAGATGTTTTCAGCCAATCAATCAGTATTTACATGTGGGGGGAATCCGGAGCACCCGGAGAAAACCCTTTTGTGCGAGGGAGCTACACTAACCCATACAGATACAGTCCTTGTTTGCTATACCGCCTTTTCCTGGCAACCCAGGCTATAGCACAAGGACACCCATGGGAAGGGAGTTTCACAACATGTGTGATACACCAAACCTCTTCTCCACAAAGCTGGATTACAGGCCTTCGTCAAGTATACTAATATATTTTCCCAGCATGGTGTCAGTATCTGAATCTCAACCTACAAAATGCCCTCAAGCTCATCCACATGCCACTTCTCGAATTGACCCATTCCATTATCATGATGTACAGTGAGGGAAAAAAGTATTTGATCCCCTGCTGATTTTGTACGTTTGCCCACTGACAAAGAAATGATCAGTCTATAATTTTAATGGTAGGTTTATTTGAACATTGAGAGATAGAATAACAACAAAAAATCCAGAAAAATGCATGTCAAAAATGTTATAAATTGATTTGCATTTTAATGAGGGAAATAAGTATTTGACCCCCTCTCAATCAGAAAGCTTTCTGGCTCCCAGTTGTCTTGTATATAGGTAACGAGCTGAGATTTGGAGCACACTCTTAAAGGGAGTGCTCCTAATCTCAGCTTTTTACCTGTATAAAAGACACCTGTCCACAGAAGCAATCAATCAATCAGATTCCAAACTCTCCACCATGGCCAAGACCAAAGAGCTCTCCAAGGATGTCAGGGACAAAATTCTAGACCTACACAAGGCTGGAATTGGCTACAAGACCATTGCCAAGCAGCTTGGTGAGAAGGTGACAACAGTTGGGGCGATTATTCGCAGATGGAAGAAACACAAAAGAACTGTCAATCTCCCTCGGCCTGGGGCTCCATGCAAGATCTCACCTCGTGGAGTTGCAATGATCATGAGAACGGTGAGGAATCAGCCCAGAACTACACGGGAGGATCTTGTCAATGATCTCAAGGCAGCTGGGACCATAGTCACCAAGAAAACAATTGGTAACACACTACGCCGTGAAGGACTGAAATCCTGCAGCGCCCGCAAGGTCCCCCTGCTCAAGAAAGCACATATACATGTCCGTCTGAAGTTTGCCAATGAACATCTCAATGATTCAGAGGACAACTTGGTGAAAGTATTGTGGTCAGATGAGACCAAAATGGAGCTCTTTGGCATCAACTCAACTCGCTGTGTTTGGAGGAGGAGGAATGCTGCCTATGACCCTAAGAACACCATCCCCACCGTCAAATATGGAGGTGGAAACATTATGCTTTGGGGGTGTTTTTCTAAGGAGACAGGACAACTTCACCGCATCAAAGGGACGATGGACAGGGCCATGTACCGTCAATTCTTGGGTGAGAACCTCCTTCCCTCAGCCAGGGCATTGAAAATGGGTCGTGGATGGGTCTTCCAGCATGACAATGACCCAAAACACACGGCCAAGGCAACAAAGCAGTGGCTCAAGAAAAAGCACATTAAGGTCCTGGAGTGTCCTAGCCAGTCTCCAGACCTTAATCCCATAGAAGATCTGTGGAGGGAGCTGAAGGTTCGAGTTGCCAAACGTCAGCCTCGAAACCTTAATGACTTGGAAAAGATCTGCAAAGAGGAGTGGGACAAAATCCCTCCTGAGATGTGTGCAAACCTGGTGGCCAACTACAAGAAACGTCTGACCTCTGTGATTGCCAACAAGGGTTTTGCCACCAAGTACTAAGTCATGTTTTGCAGAGGGGTCAAATACTTATTTCCCTCATTAAAATGCAAATCAAATTTATAACATTTTTGACATGCGTTTTTCTGGATTTTTTTGTTGTTATTCTGTCTCTTAATGTTCAAATAAACCTACCGTTAAAATTATAGACTGATTATTTCTTTGTCAGTGGGCAAACGTACAAAATCAGCAGCGGATCAAATACTTTTTTCCCTCACTGTAATGCTAGACTTAAACTGTGCATTTGTTATCATGACATTTGTATATAAAACGACATAACATTCTGAACACAACATTCACGTACACACCTTTTATGCCTGTAATTGTCAATATTTACCAAACTTACAACGAATGTAATCTAATAAACTACCAAAGAGGTGTTTAGGAAAACATAACCTCAAATATCTAGAAATGCAACTACTCAGAATATTAAAGAGTTCGTTTGTTTTTATAAATCAGTAATTTGTACCTGTAAAATTTAAACTTAAGGCTAAAGTGTCTCCTTGCTTAGAAATAAGGATGGGGCAGTGTAAATCTCTTATACTTTGACTACGATGGTTTACGTGTTCATGAAAGGCCTTCTTTTCCTCTCAGGCCTGTATCCTTAACACCTCTACTTAACTCCCCTCTGAAAAAAGCATTTACCTTGCTGTACACCCCCCCCCCACTTGTTTGTACAAGGTCTTGTAATAACAACGATTAGACATCGTGCCCAACACAATACAAGCCAAAAATCCATCGTAGAGCTATACAGGACAACCGTGAAAAAATACAAGGTATACTTTGATTATATATAAATTTTTTGTATTGTATCTCTATTGACAGCTCTAAGCCAGTTGTGAAAATTGACGAACACGTGAACCCAACACATTCTTCAGCTAGGCTCTTTAAGATGAGTACATCGCACCTGGGAGCCAGGTTCCTCTGATACGATCCCCACCTCCTCCACATGTGCGACCATGTCCGATAGGTCGCCCGACACCTCGACCTCATGCACGGCCTCCACCTCCAGCTTGTGATCCAGCTTCTCCTGCAGACTCTGCAACCGCCGCTTGTGGTCCTTGTCGGCCAATCGCTGGAACTTGAAGAACGCCTGTAAATTCACATACGCTGCTCGTACACGAGACAAAAGCAGTGGCCTCTGCATCGAAATAAAAAAAGGGTAACCGCTCATGATGTACAGGATTGTCTCCTTTTGTTGAATAATTTCCAGCTGCAACCACTCACCCCATTATATGCTTTACTGCCCATCATTATTCTCTTTTCCTATTTTTCCCTTTCCGTCCTCTTGTTCCTCTTTTGCTTTCCAGGTAACAACGAAAGGGACCTACTGTTACATGTTTATGCAAAATGTTTGGACACCGTGTTCCCTGGTTCTGTGCTTTCCTGTATCTGTTGTGTTGAATCTATATACAAGTCAAAAATAGTTTGTGTTCGCGCGCTTGAACGATTTGCCTCTCCAACGGTGGTGCTTACGTAAAAAAAATTGCCAGGACCAAAGCCGTAAGCCCCGCGGTGAGAAAGCGTTATTCATTTTTCACATCTGTCAACTTTTAATTAGTTTAATTAGCGATTTAGTGAGATTTTTGCGAGCTTCACTTTTATTTATTTATTTATGGCGCGTGCACGACCATACCAACTCACGCGCCTTTGGTGGGGGGGATGGCCCATGCCAAGTCGCACGCCTTCGGTGGGAGTGAGGGGGACATTTTATTTTGCGTTAAAAATGTATTAGAAATACACTAAACGCTGACGTTAATGCTTCACTGTGTGAAATCCCCCCCACCCCGATGCGTGCATTTATTACTACTATACAGTCGCTAGATGCTACCACTATAGGCTGTAGATATTACTGCAGAGCGGACGGGGCGATTGTGGCGGGGGGGGGGGGGGCGGTCAGGGGTAGCAGCCCAGTCCCAGCCTGCCAAGGTGCCACCTCGGCCGGCTGGACAATCTAGACGAGGCCGGAGGCTCTGCACGGGACTAGGCCTCACCACGCCACTCTGTCAGGTGAGTACTTTGTGCTATAGAGTCGATAAATACTGCTACAGTCAGCATGTACTATTGCAGTGATAGCAGGTACCACCACAGTCGGTATGCGCTGCTGTAATCATAGCAGGTACCACCACGGTCAGTATGCACTGCTGTTAGATTTTTAAGAGTAGTTTTGAAATATTTTTTTGACCCGGGTAATGCCGGGTACTTCCCGCTAGTATATATTAAATGTGACTGAAAATTAGTAAAAAATAAATAAAAGGTGTTTCAATCTACAACTACTGACAAGTTGTATGAATGTTATCATTTTGACGATGAACCCTGTTGGATGGTTTACTTACATTTGTTTCAATGGGTATATTGGATGGATGTGAGATGTTATATCTAGAGACACGAAGGCTTGCGAGATAGCTATATGGCGCCATGGAATTGTGTTGGTACGGAAGTTGTTGCAATGGGAGACATCGTGTATGTTGGTGCTGTTTTAACGGATGGCATGGAGGAAGCTTCTTGCATGCTGTTACATGGGAGGACATTAGAGAGTTGTGCTAATTGATACAATTGATGGTACATGGGAGACTGTTCAAGTAGTTACATATTTCGGGATGTTGATAGTGGCAATATTGAAGGACATAGAAGTTTACTGGTGCTTATTATATTAGAAACATAGTGATGTCCATAACAGTTAGGCAAGATGACATGAAGGGTTGGAGTTGTTATTGAATGGATAACATTGGAGACTGCTGGCAGTTATAACATGTGCACATCTATGGCTGCTGCTGAAAGTTATTACACGCTTTTATTTAACTCGCTCTGTCTGTTGTTGTATCCTCAAATCTTGTAACTCAATTTTAACCCACTTCCCAAATGTGGTATCGAATGCAAACTTGGTATACTTATGTCATACTGATGACAATACTATATTCTATCATTAAAAAGAAAGCAACCTTTATTATGAATAATATTGGTCGCGAAAGCCTACGTGTTAAACTGAATGCAAACCTCGTATACTTACGTCTTACTGATGACAATACTATATTCTATCATCAAAAATAAAATAAATATTTTTAAACAATCTTTTTGCACACTTTCTATTAACTCACTCTGTCTGTTGTTGTTGTTGTTGTCGTATCCTCAAATATTGTAACTCAATTCTAACCCACTTCCCAATGTGGTATCAACTGCAAACTTGGTATATTTATGTCATACTGATGACAATAACTATAGTCTATCATTAAAAAGAAAACATCTTTTTTATATGTTATGTTTCGGCTTGGGTCTAATTGTCCACGCTCAACTGACGTTGGCTGTAATTGTCCACGGTCCCCTTACGTTGTGGCCAAGCTTCGGGGCCACTTCCTGGAGTCGTGGAGTTTTGCCATTACTCGTACGGTACATTACATTAAAGCGTGTTTTTTAAAAGTATTTTTTAAATATGATTATTTTAAAAGGTGACTTGAATTTGTTGTTGACGTAACAAGGAAAGAGACTGCCTTTTGCCAAAGCAGTTTCTCCAGAAACGTAGCATTTCTGACAGTTGTTATATAGAGAGACCTGGAGAGCGACTGCTCACCACTGGACGCGAGAACATTGAATATTACGGGCATGTGTTTCGATGGGTGATGCACCACACAGCTGGCATTGTTATAAGGACAGAAATGGAGGGCTGTGGGTGGTGGTGACAAAATGTGCAGCTGGCAATTATTGTAAAAGGTTGCACTTAAGTCCAATGCTGGAACCAATTTCAAAGCGTGATAAAACGTACTATTGCCATAAGTTACACGGACAATACGGGCATGAAAGGCGAGCGATGGCAGGTATTTTAAAGGCTGACATAAAACTTTTTATTTTTTGTATTGGTCATTGTTAAATTTAAGGATGACATAAAGTGTTCCTGGTTATCATTATCAACAGTAAATGTCTGTTCTAGATTTGAAGTTTTCGTGACTGCAAGGATCCATACTCTTTGGTCCTTTCGGTAAAGTCACGTAGGAGAAAAAAAAAATCAAAAAAAATCACGACGTTGGTTGTCCCACCTGATGTTGCGCCCGAAACGTCGCGAATTAATTATTTTATTGTAATTTTATTTTTTCACATACGTGACTTTACCGAAAGAACCGAAGAGTATCGTAAATGTCTGTCCACTGTTAGATGAAGGCCATCTCACGTCGTGGCCAACCGCCATTGTTTTATCCTCCTGTGCTTGACCTCATCTAATTGCACCATCTCCGTGGTAGTCATCCTTTATACTCCTCTTTTTTTTGCGGCCATTCCATTACCAGTCTCATGAATCAGTCATCATCCAATCTATCAATGTCCTTCAAGCCAATTTACTATTTTAGGAGTCAATAGATCTCTGGTTTGCATTTTTTATCACACCCGTATGTACCTTCATCTCTCAGTGCAATTCCAAACATGCACCTTTCTATGGTTCTTTGTGTACTTTTAGTTACATATTCTTTGTAGATGCCCATGTTTCAGATCAATAAGCTGTTTTCTCAGTGGGTGTCTGTTCCCCTAGTGTGATTATTGTTGTTCATCCCCGAGTCTGTGATGTCCTTCACTCTTTGTTCTTTTATATCTTATTCATAACTTTATTCCCTGCCACATTTTCCCTTTTTTTAGTCCTGTTGACTTTGTATTTTCCTTGCTTGTTTTCTGAAGCACTGAGACGCCATGGTTTATAAACAAATGAAAATCTTTAACTCTATAGCAGGCTATATGTAATTATTTATACATGCAATAATAAATCCATTAATCAAAAACTGACTTGGATATATATTTTAGCATTTGCCATTTACATCCCTTCAACAATTATTGCCTTTTGTTAAACAAAGTAATTGTAGGCTACTTTAGTTTTGCTCCTAATTATTTGTATCCCAAAATGTGTGACCATTGCTAAGTTCTTCAACCTTTATTTTATTTGTTATAATTACTATGGCATTAACAACCGTGTTAATCGGTGTGGGGAATGACCAGAAACTAAACGGATTGCAATGTGTATCCCCAATTGATAAATTTGCGCATAATTTTCGTATTTGGAAAATGTGGACCCTTGATGCAGGCTTACAAATGACGTCAAGGGCCATTTAACATCCACTGTGAAGCAGTTGGTGCGTATTATAGTTTACACCCGCAGTATTAATCAGGGCGTCCGCTGGAAGTGAACCGTGAACCTCTTAAACAAGTGGCCAACGCACTGCCGCTAGGCCACATCACCACCCTATGATCATGATTGATGAACGTGGGAGACAAATAATTGAGAGCGAAACCACGGCGTCAGCGACGCATGCCACCCGTGATGTACATTTCATACGGCGAGACCTCACATTTTCAAAACAATAATCCGTCACTGCATGAGTTAGGAGACGATTCAACGTGGCAACACTGCAGTTCACCTTCTTAGCATGCTCCGTAAAATCTACCAATGCAATGGGAACTTTTTCAAAGCTCAGAAGAAGACGCAGAAGGCGAACAAGCAAGCGAGGTGTGTAGCTCTGGCAGCTCCCCGCGTTAGCATGACGCTTAGAGGAATGCCTAAGCCTATGGCTCCCCATGTGAGTCCGTGCAAGTGTATGGGTCTGTATGCAGTCTATTGATCTCTTGATATGAGTGGCCGCGATTCAAGTGGAACATACATAAAATACCAGGGCAGTAACGTACACGGAGGCAGCACAACCGAGCAGCACACCCAATGCGATATCACAACTGGCTGTGTCGGGTGGAGGTGAGTTAGCGACACATTTATATTTACGCGATCTAACCCAAAATCCGTATTATGGATAATAAAATGAGACTTGTGTAAAGCTCAAGGGACACAGAAGCGGAGGGAGAAAGGCGGCAGTAACTGGAAGCTTCGAGCATAAGGCTTAGCTTGAGTTACAAGTCTGTGTTTCCAAGTATACGCAAGTCTATAGATCATGTGCGTGGATGAACGTATATGGGTCGCTTTTAAATTATATGTAGGTGTACGGGTCTGTATATATGTCTATGCACGTCTATGGGTCTCTAAATGAATGTGAATGGGCCTGAATACACCGATTGTCTATGACTAAGATGCGCTATGCAAGTCAACTGATATGTAAATACAAAGTAACT